AAAAGTAGTCATGTCCCAGCAGGACATTACTCTTGCCCATGTTTAGATCACTCCAGCTGCAGCACAGCTCTTAAGATATGATGATTTGCTTGGGAAGTGAGACTAGGTGATCTCTGAAGTTTCCTTACTGTTCTAATTTTTCTCTTGGTTGCCATTAAATACCTTGGAAATTTCAAATGAACAAGGCAACTCCTGCTCTTGGAGCTGTTCTCTTAAGATGTCTGCAAGTTCAGGAAGCTTGTGCTGTGTGGTTTGGTCTGAAATCACACTGAGGTTTTCCAAGGGTTTTTTCTTTCAACCATGAAGACAAGAGACGCATAACAAAGTGATTCTGAGTTTAATTATATACAGATAAGGTTGGTAATGTGGGATCTGATTTGAGGAGGCCCAGCCCACAACAAAGGATGAATTCCATCACAAATTAAATGGCTGTGACTCTGGGGCTGTTTGAAAATGAGTTAATCTGGGAAGGAGGAAAGCTGGGGGAAAAAATGTTTTCCCTGAGATGAAAAATGGGGATGGAATAGATGTCAGAAAATTAACCACTGGTTTGGTGCAGTTCCTGGGTCTTCAGTGGCACCTGAGAATTCAACAGTGAGAGCTTCCATCTGCTTACAGATGTCGTTGGCAGATACCTCTGTGCCAGGGCTGTCAATGAAGATCTAAACCAAGGCAGAGCTCAAAAATGATACTTGGAGATTTTTTAGCTTTACCCAGCTCCTCTAGAAGCTGAATTTCTTTAACTTCTCTAATTCACATCTGCTAAAGCTCATCATGGAAACTGAGTTCCAGGCTGTGCCTCCCTTGTTGTCCTGCCTGACTCTGCTTCAGGGCTGGTGTCGCTGGCATTGTTGGAAACAGGATAGGTAAATTTGGGTTGCAGAACTGTGTCCAGATAATCCTTGGCATCCACTCTGTGGTCATGGAATGACTTCTTTTCTTTCACTTTTGTTACTTGCAGAGCTGAAAAGCTGAGGAATTCTTTCAAATCCCTCACAGAATCAGCTTGACTTTTGCTGCTTCTCATTATATTTCTGTTTTTCCTTGAGTTTTTGGAGCATAAGTTTGGTTTTGGTTTTTGGTTCACTCCTTATTCTGTGTCCTTTTCTGCTAACACCCCAAAGCATTCAATTAAACTTGGAGTATGGTTGTTCTATCTGGGATTGAGTCGTGGCTACTGCTTGCACTGTGAATGAGAATGGTCTGCAGGTAAAAATGAAACTCAAGCTGGACTCAATGCTCCTTTCCTCTTGGCTCCAAGTGTCACCTCCCCATCTTTTCCAAGTCCCTTGCAGCTCTCCCCACCAATTTGGGACTCATTTTTCTGCTTGGTGCCCTTTGGAGAGCTGAGTAGCTGGAAGGTGTCAGCATAGGAAGTGTTCAGAGGGTTAAGACATCTTGTAGCTTTATCTCCTCTGACAGGATTCTTTCCAAGACTCCTAGCCATCCCTCCTTGCCCTGAGGGATCCCAGAGTTGCTGGGGATGATAGCAGAGTTTGCAATTTGAAGGAATTACATGGCAGTCTCTTGACATCCTCCATCCACTTTGTTCAGCTAATTAGTTTGTTTTATCAAACTCTGTCCTTCTGGCTCTGGGATTTCTGATTACAGAGTGGCTGTTGTTTAAACTTCCATTTGCTGTAAATTCAGTTAACTTGTGATCATTTGACCCTGAGTGAGTGCTTATTTCATCCCTAATTCTTGGAGAAGCACTGCCCAAAACCAAGTGTCATGCAGAACTACCTCAGGTTAGTTCAGGGAGGGTTTGTGGAAGAGCCTGCTGGACATTCCTGGATGTACCAGCCAGACCTTACTGCCAGGATTGGTATTTGTGTTATTCCACTTGGGGAATTTACTCTTCCATAATAACGCACTTCCCGGTGTTCCTGTATGAGAAAGTTTCTCCTTGTCTCACGTGGATGAGGAAGAGGCTTGAAGGCAGAGCTGCCCCAGGAGAGTGTTTTGGTGCCTCCCCTGCAGTGACACCAGCTGCTGTCACTGCTTCCCTCTTGGAATTTAAGCAAACAGCATTTCTGTGTTTTCCTAAACTGGGGGGGAGAGGGTTTGGCTCCTTCAGGCTGGCTTCTGCCTAATGATCTTTTGAAGTGTAACTTCAAAGCCTGGGCTTGTTTCCTAAACACTGTTGGGAGGCTGGTTCTGAGGGAAGGAGATTCCAGCAGCTTGTTTGTTTTTGACATGGGCTTGGAGCAATTCCAGTCGTGCTATAGCTGTGGTCCATCTGCTCCAGCAGCAAACACAGCCCTGAACAGCAGCCACAGTGCTCAGAACTAAGGGGAAAAGGTATTGATAAGGTGAGGAAGTTATCCCTAGTGTCTCTCACATCCCACCAGCACAAGGTTGGCCCTGGAGCTGCTCAGCTGAGCTGCTCTGCAGTCATGGTCTGTATGTGCAGCACTGGCTTAGGCACAGATCCACCATTGTCACTTTGATGGAATCTTCCTAGGAGAGGCTGTTCTGGTCCCAGATCAGCAGAGCTGCTCCTGTGGGGTGGTAAACCCTGTGGCTGGTGTGGTTGAGGCAGGTGAGGACAGGTGTCTCCACCCTGGAGAGTGGTGTCTCTCGGGGCAGGCCACAGGGCTCGGGAGGAGTGTTATCCATCCAGAGGCTGCTGGTTGTTGCTGTGCTGGGGCAGTATCAGGCAGGGCCTGTTGCAGGTGTGTGCTGGGAGGAGAAGCAGGCAGGGACCAGCAGGATGGCCCTGCTCTCCTCATGGCTGTGTTTCCAGCTGCTGAGAAGAATCCTTTGATTCCACGTGCAGCCTTTGCTGCTCTCTGTCTCTCCTGCCAGAGCATCCACCCAGCTCCCAGATAAGCACTTCCTAGGCAGCACCTGTAACTTAAGGATTTTAATGAGCTCAATCAGTTCCTTGGGTGTTTCTGTTGCTGTTTCAGTATCTTTGCTGTTGTGATATTCTAGTGCTTAGTGGAGTATGAGAAACAATTGCTGACGGTTTCCTAACTGGATATTCTTTGTCTATTTATTTTGTACTGGGGACTAACTGTTTTCTGTGCTTACTGCTATGCTGACATCTCACCAGGTACTTTTGCTTTAGTCCTTCACTTGTACCCATGGTGGAATTGGCTCTCATAGATACAGGACTGATGTTTTGCTGAACCACATCTTTATGTTTTGGGTTGTTGTAGTCTCTGAAGTTTTCTCTTATAGATCATGTTTGCCTGTTGCTAACATCTAGCTGTACAATCTGCCCATAATTCCTGTATCATGTTCCTCCTTGACTCTTCCATATTGATAGGGAAGAGACCAACCAAGGACCTGCCACAGCCTGGTCCTTGCTTCCTGCTGCTCCACATGTGTGAGGGAAGTGATGCTGTGGCTCTAACCCAGCTCTTTTTTGTGCCTCTCCCAGGTGCATCCATTGTGGAGTTGTCTTCATGACCATTGCCCTGCTCAAGGTTCACATCCAGGAGAAACACTGCGAAGTCTTCCACAAGTGTTCTTTTTGCCCAAAGGCCTTCAAGTCGGCCGACAGCACCCTGGCTCACATGACCAGCCAACATGCAGCAGAGCCTCACAAGACTACTCAGTAAGTTTTCTGACCAGCCAACATGCAGCAGAGCCTCATAAGACTACTCAGTAAGTTTTCTTCTCCTTTGCTGGGTGGCTTCAGGATTCCCCCGTTCCCTCCTAGTTTTTTTTTTTCTATTTTTGGCTTCACTCCACATATGAGTTGATCTGCTGCTT